GTTTCAGCTCCGTGTGTTTTCTGAGGCAGTAATTACTGAATCTAAATCACACGTCAATTAGTGCTCGTTTGCTTCTCCTGCAGTAAACTCTGCTCTCAGTCTGAGGTTAAACTCTGGGCTCATGTTCACACAGCTAACGTCTTCCATCTGTGTGTGTGTGTGTGTGTGTGTGTGTGTGTGTGTGTGTGTGTGTGTGTGTGTGTGTGTGTGTGTGGGTGTGTGTGTGCGGCTCAGGGAAAGTCCTTGGCGTTAATAAAAGAACATTTCTCTCTAACAGTCACATTTGTTTTATTCACAGTGTTGTATCAACAGCGGTGAAACACATTAAACGCTCCTATTGTGAAACTCACAGCTGCACACACACACACACACACACACACACACACACACACACACACACACACACACACACACACACACATGTTTTTAGTCTTATTGTGATGTTGCGTGTCTTTTTGTGTTCATTTTACAACTTCTCTAGTCATTTATTTCACTGTCTCTGTTGAAATCTTTTCATTTTTTATTTCCTTTAGCTCCTTAAAGTTTTATTTTTGCATGATATGAAGCCAGTCACTTGATTCTCTTTGTGGTCATTTAGCATATTTTTGATCATTTTAAGGCGTTTTGTAATCACTTTGAGTTTTTTCTGTCAATTTGCATTGTTTTTATTTCATAATTGTGTTATTTGAAGTGTCTGTGTTCCAGCCTTTTGTGTTCATTTTGCCAACAAAGAGTCTTTTTAAGGATTTATTTCCTGCCAATTCTCATCTTTTCATTATGAAATCCTTCCTGTAGTTGCTATGCAGTTTTCTTGTGTTTCATTTGCATTTTAACCTCAGTCTCTTTTCCACTCTTTGTGGTCATTTAGCATCTCTCAACGTCCCTAAGTCGTGCTCATTCTGCATAATGTTTAAATAACTGTATCAATAAATTGTGATCCGAGACAGCTGAGTGTCTTTCTGCTGCTCCATGTGTCATGTGATCACGTGTCATGTGACCCTCCCCCTGCTTTTATTTATTTTCTGGTATAATTTGTTAATTCCTGGTGTGTTGTGTTCTGGTGCAGCTGGGGGGGGGGGGGGAGGTGTGTGTGTTCGTATCGACTCCCTGTGAAAACACACTCTCTCTAAACTCAGAGTCCGATCTGCAGGAACTCATTGATCCCCCCCCCCCCCTCATTGATCCACATTACAAGCTATGCAGATATACCTATAATACAGATATAATATAGATATATCTATACTACAGATACACCTACAGTATAATACAGATATACTACAGATATAATACAGATACAGATATACTACAGATACACCTACATATATAATACAGATACAGATATACTACAGATATAATACAGATACAGATATACTACAGATATACTACAGATGTATTCCTCCCTCTCCTCAGACTCTCGTTGTGATTCTAAACCTTTTCCTCGCCTCCGGCTCTTTCTCTCAGCCTGAAGCCGAGGATCAGCTGCTGTAATCTGTAGAGAGGAGAGAGCAGTGCATTCTGGGAAAACCCTGATCCCCTCTGCACCTCCACCTGCACCCCGAGAGACACCTGGAAAATATTCAAGGACCTCAAACTGTCTCCAAACCCCTCCTCCAGGTCCTCGGGAACCAGCTGTTAAATGAAACTGAGATAAAAACATGAAACGTCCGGCGGCAGATATTCCAGAGTTTAATACCTACGTTAATAAAAGATTCATCTTGTTTTAATAAAATCTGTTTCTCCTGCAGGAAGCGTCCTGCTCTCCTCTTCTTTAAAACATCCTCCTCTCAGCTGTTAAGCGTCTCGGTCCCTGAACGCACCACGAGTCTCCATCTGATCAAGAGATGAGGAAGCCTTTTTAAAAAATGTTTAACGGCAAACAATTTTTACAAACGTTTAAATGTTTTTGATTTCTTTTGTAATAATTACTTTTTTGGGGCATTTGATGTCTTTATTTGACAGCTATACAAATAAAAGATGTATAATAAACAGATTTAAGGGGAATGTCTTTGAGTTTTGGACGAAAGGAGATTTGTACAGACGTTAATGGGAATGGGAAGCGTCTCCGTTGAAGCACGCGACGCTGCCGTGTGGACGTACCGATAAACTCTCCTTAAACTATTTGAACTATTTTATCTGTGTTATTGTGTTGCACCGTTGGAGGAGCCTGTGACCTCAGATTCTCATTGATATATCTAAACTGTAGCTCTGCACGTATGACAATAAAAGCCTTACATCGTTGATCACTAGAAAACGCTCACCATAAAATAACTAACTTGTATATGAATTGTATTTATTCCACAGGCCTCAGACTGAACTTTCCATCCATAACATTCATCTGTTTGCAACTTAACAATTATTTATCTAATATATCATATTCCATTTACTTATATAGACTCTTCTTGCACTATTTCAATTGTATTTGTATTACTTGTACTATTTTAACTATTTTGTCTAGGAGCCTGTGACCTAAGGTTTCAATTGACATATCTTCACTATTGACTATATGTACAAATGACAAAAAAAGCCTTTTATTTCTCCTCCTGCTCCTGAGGAGTCTCTCTAATGGAGAAAAGGCTCTCTCTTCACACTCTCCTCTGAACACATCTGTAAATGTGATCTCAGATTAGCCGAAGGAGGAGGCGCAGGCCATTGTGAGCGTCTCCTCTTTGTCCGGCAGAATATTGTGATATTTGGGGCGCGGTGTTTAACACGCTGACATTTACTTATCGCTCTAAACAGCCTTCCATCTGACCTTTCTGCTGCTTTGAATGACATCTGGATATTCTGAGGAATAATCGAGAGGACGGAGATAAGGAGGACAAAGAGAGGAGGAGGACGAGGAAGAGGAGGAAGAGGACACGCTGCCGGACAGTGTTTACTGCGTCAGAAACACAAAGATCCGTCTGCAGATCTCAGAGATGCTTCTCTTCACACAAAGAGCTTCAGGTTGACATTAAACTGCTCAAAGAAGTGGAAGTCTTTACCGAATGGTTTAAAGGGCTGTAAGAACGTTTTAATGTTTAAGGAAATGTATAAAGAAAGTGTAATTAGACAGAATGGTGACTGCTGATTGTGTTCTGGTTTTATGTTTCAGTATTTGTAAGAAACTGTGAGTGAAAGAATTATTTTACTTTTTTATGGTTATTTATTTTTAGAAGGGGGCAGGTCAAATAAGATGTTCTTCCCCCTGCTCCTTTCCACCATGCGCTATCAAAAAAAACAGTATAAGTGACCATGTGTTGTAAAGTGTACATGTTTAGTTTTAAAATAACTGCCATGTGTGGAATAAACAAATAAATAAACAAATAAACAAACAAACAGGTACGGTGAACTCATCGTACGGTGAACTCATCGTACGGTGAACTCATCGTACGGAGGCCGAAAGGTGCAAAAACGCAACTCTTCCGTCAGGAGAAACTCCTTCAGAGAGGATGCAGATATAGAAACCCAAATGTTCCACATGAAGAAACATCTCCAGCAACAACACATGCAGCTTTTAGAGAACATTCAGCAGCTTGAGGAGACATGGCAGCGTTTACTAAAAGCTGCAGAAACCAAACGCTGAAGAAGCTCAAACACAACGGCAGGAGACATTCTACCAAAATGATGAAGTTTTTGTCACAAATTCACAACCAATGCAAACCATCTTGAACCATCATTTTCTTTTAAAGTTTGATTTGAGAACAGCAAGAAAAGACTCGTAGGACTCGTAAGAAGCAGTCAAATGAGAGCAGAATCGAGGCGGAAGGATGAATTCTCGAAACAAGTCGAGAACAGAGAGTCTGAAAAAGCACGAGGATGGAAAACAGAGATGTACAAACACCAGCCCGCAAACTACCAGCACCATCCACAGAGATGGGTAAAGCTCATCTACCAGCACCATCCAAAGAGATGGGTAAAGCTCAGCTACCAGTACCATCCAAAGAGATGGGTAAAGCTCAGCTACCAGCACCATCCAAAGAGATGGGTAAAGCTCAGCTACCAGTACCATCCAAAGAGATGGGTAAAGCTCAGCTACCAGCACCATCCAAAGAGATGGGTAAAGCTCAGCTACCAGTACCATCCAAAGAGATGGGTAAAGCTCAGCTACCAGCACCATCCAAAGAGATGGGTAAAGCTCAGCTACCAGCACCATCCAAAGAGATGGGTAAAGCTCAGCTGTCATTGGTCAAAAACCAGACAAGAAATCCTAGCAATAACAATCCAAACATCCTCATTTGATAATAAGATATAGGAAATCTAAACAATTCAGATTTTTTTCTCAAATCTCAAAATTCTGAATTTTTTCTCAAATATCAAAATTTTGACTTTTTTTTTATCGTTTCTTTTATTTTTCTCAAATATCAAGATTTTGAAATTTTCCTCAAAATTCTGACTTTTTGATCTAATCTCTGAATTCAGATCAAATCTCTGAATTCAGACTTTTTTTTATCAAATCTCTGAATTCAGACTTTTTTTTATCAAATCTCAAAATTCGGGTTTTTTGATCTAATCTCTGAATTCAGACTTTTTTTATCAAATCTCTGAATTCAGACTTTTTTATCAAATCTCTGAATTCAGACTTTTTTTATCAAATCTCTGAATTCAGACTTTTTTTTATCAAATCTCAAAATTCGGGTTTTTTGATCTAATCTCAAAATTCATACTTTTTGTAACCAATGTTTGTGTTTTTCTCCAATATTGACTTTTCTTTTAAAATCTCTAAATTCTTCCTTTTTTTTTATCAAATCACTGAATGTGTTCTGTGATTTTTTGCAACAAGAAATCCTCTCAAAACTGTCCCTTATAGAGCAGAGACAACCTAACTATTGAACCCTCTGACACAGAGCAGGGCACAGGTCCAATCTTCTGACCGTCACAAACGTACACAAACCAGCCAATAAACCCCCGCACTAACAATCCAAACATCATCATTTAATAACAGTTTCAGGAAGAGTCTCCTCCCGATGTCTTACCGGTGTAGAAGATTAATAAAAGTTTCAGGAAGTGTTTGTTCTTAC